CAGCAGTCACAAGGGCTAGGGACAGACATTCAAAAAGCCTGAGCCTGAATTCATAGTTTCATAGTTTCTAGGGTCGGAAGGGACATGAGTAGATCATCTAGTCCGACCCCCTGCCATGGCAGGAAAGAGTACTGGGGTCAAATGACCCCAGCAAGGTGTACATCTAGCCTCCTCTTAAAGACCCCCAGGGTAGGAGCCAGCACCACTTCTCTTGGAAGTTGGTTCCAGATCCTAGCCACCCTGACCGTGAAGTAGCGCCTCCTGATATCTAGCCTAAATCTACCCTCTGCCAGCTTGTGACCATTATTCCTGGTCACTCCTGCCAAGGTTGAACCAGTTTGCAAGTGTACAGATGCTCCCTCTGGACTAAAGAAAAGCAGGCACATGCCTGCAGTGGCTCAGGCTAGAAGCTGGGAGGGGAGGGGAGTGAGAAGGGGGGGAGAGGATGCTAAAGCAGCCCTCCCTTCCCTTTCATAGTGCTGAGCTGAGGAGGTGGGGGGAAGGTGGCCAGGCCCCAGCAAGATGCTCTGATTAGGATGGGGTGTAAACCCACCCTGGCCTGCACCATCCCAGGTTTTTCCCCACTCACAGTTTAAAGGATGGAAGTGTTGCTAGACCCCAGCCCCTGGCTAGAACTCTGAGACAAAGTGGGGGTGTCCAGTGCAGCCATCTGTTGATGATACTGAGCTTTTCAGTCTCCTTCTTCCTGCTTCTTCATACTGTCTGCAAACCTGACAGGTGAGAGAGCCAGCAGGGGGTTGATAACACAGTGTTTATCAGCCCATCAACAAAAGAAAAACCTCTCTCATTAGTTCAAGCTCTTCTTAAACAGCTTTTTCCAAGGAAGGAATGGAGGGGCATTACCAGTTGACCTGTTGCTTAGCTCCAAAAAGCTCTAAGCCAACACTGCTCTGTCTGCCTGTCCCAGTGAAATGGGAGACACACACACACAGACGCCTCTCATCATTGGCTAGCATACCACATGCCTAAGGTCCATGGGGCTGTGGGAGGTGAGAGGGAGGGAAGGGGGAATCCCTGCTTAAGCAGCAAACAGTGAGAGGGGGAGGCCAGGCAGAACTTGCTGTGCCTGCAGTCTTCACTGGAGCTCTGGCCAGCCCTGTTCTCTGGAGCAGACAGCCCAGGATAGCCCAGCCTAGGGCTGCAAAGCATCTGGGATGCTGGGGAACTCTGGTTTAACTTAAATCAGGAAGAGGTCTGGGACAGACATTGCATAAACCAGTTTGACCCAAATCAGTTAAGTCTGATACTACATGCAACCAGGTTTATCTTAAAACAGTTTTAGCCTCTTTGCAACTGGTTTATGTGCACTGAACTTATGTTCTGTTACAGGTTTAAACCAGTTTCTGCTCACTTAATGTCTGTTCCTAGCTAAGTAGTCATTTGTGAGAAGACAGTCAGAGCACTCGGCCTGAGTGCTAGTCTTCAGTATAAAGGCTCTACTGACATAACTAGTCTGACAACTCCACCTAGCAGAGATGAGGCTTAGGTAGGGAAAAACAGTTTGTCTGGTATAGCAAACACAACTTGAGCTTTACCAGTGAAGCTGGTGTAAGATGTGCCTACCCTGGAGATTCTGCCAAAGCAGCTGCTGGACAGGGTTTGTGAACATTTTCTTGTTCCTAATCTACTTGCTAGCTGGTAAAACTTTACACTGTACAGCTGGCCAGAGACTCAGCCAAGGGGCATATATGAGCCCTAAGCAGGTGACAGCACACTTCAGCTTTCATTACGCTCCCTTTCCATAAAGCCTTTCCTCAAAGAAAACTGGGTTAGGCTTCCATGTGAAGTCAAAGGGAGCCTTTCCATTGATTGCAGTGGGAGTTGGATCAGACCCACAGGCTAGCTGAATACATTTCTGACAGATCTCTACTGCTTTACACCCTCCAGGCCTCCTCCCCCTCTGCTGACAGCCAAGATTGTTAATGTTTCTGCATTCTCCTCCAGCTTAGTAGAAAGACCAATGACAGCCCTGGCGCACACAGCATTGCTCAAATCAGATGTCAACATTCAAGCAGGGAGTGATTATCATAGTCCCTTGGCACCCTCAACCTAGGGAGCCACAAAAGCATGCCACATCTTGTGCCCACATTTTCTTTCCTAAGAAAGCCCAGAGGGGCTTCTTTGGCGCAGGTTGACTCACTAGCGAGCAGCTCCCTTTGGCTTCCATGTTTACATCGTTGTGGTTGTTAATTTGAGAGAAACCTTTTATTTTTTTCCCCCCTGTCCCTCTGCAGGGGGGAAAAAATGTGACCTTTAAGATTGTTTATACCAATCAACAAGAAGTCTCGAGCTGCCGGATTCCAAGAAACACAAGACAGTCTTGGAGCTGGCAAAGGGAGGGGAGCTGTATAAGGAGAGAGAGCAATCAAGGTCAAGAGTTCACAGACAGGATAAAGCAGAAGGCAATGTGAGGAGACGGGGTGGGAGAGCATGCCCTTTCCATTCAGAGTGGAAGGCAGTAAGAGAGCGCGCGAGCATTAAAGGCTTAGTAGGCCATATGCAGAAGAACAAACCTCCCTTGTGGATTCTGCATCCCAAGGTCAGGAGGGCAGGGCTGACCTACAGCAACAGGTCAGACCTAACAGAGCAGATACAGTGGCCCTGAATGGTGAGGACCCCAGGAAAATCACCACCACTTCTCTCCTTGCCTAGCACAAGCAAGGCCTCTGCCTCACATTCCCTTGCTTAGGAGTACATGTGATACAGGACATCCTGAGCCTGGGAAGGATGAGAAGGAAAATAAATTGAAATTCCGCTCCCCCCCTGCTTTGACTATACAGGGTGTGCAATGACCAATAAGATGGTTTAACAAGAGAGGGAAAAAATACTTTGCCACTGTCAAATACAAGAAAAATTATCTGAATGTGTAAAACTCACAGGAACTTTTAGGCAATAATACCAGGAATCTTCTCTCATTGCCAGCTGTAGCCCTGAAAGAAGTAACTCACATAGCTTTGTCCTGCCTTCACATTCAGCTAGAGAAGAAAAGACTGGAGTTGGGGATGCCAAGCTCAGGGGGTTTAACATGTAGAAGAAGCAAAGTCAGCCAGCACACCTCACTGACAGCTCAGAGCTGGTCTGCAATCTGCTTGCTCCACTGTATTCAAAATGTGGATACAGTCAACAGGGAGAAAAATTCACTGCAGCAAGGTCCAAGACAGACAGAACCTCATCCAAGAAGAGTCAAGACTGTGAGAAAAAAAAGGAGATGGAGGGGAATGGAGAGAGTGACAATGAGGGAGAAAAATGGAAGGTGGGAAGAGCCAGAAAATACAGCATACTGTTAGGTACCAGGTCCAGTTTCATATACACATATTTATCAAGGAGCCTGATAATCAATGTGTATGATGTTTATTACAGTACACACAACCCTTCACTTATACCCCAAACCAGGGGTGAATGATATATAAGGCACCAGGCATCTGAAAGGTCAAGTTATATCTGGTTCTGAATCAGAAATGTGAGGGTTTGTGGTCAAATTTGTCTATGAATCTATATGTATACAATTGTAAAGGGATGAATCTTCCTGTATTCTCATTTGCACTCATCTTGCCCCAGTGGAGCTGCATGATATAACTTAGAGTGGCTTTTAATCCAAACATGATTGCATTTTTCATCTTAGATTTCCTACACTGAGCATCTAAACTTCTAGCTAGTTATGCTTATAACCCACTAGATGTCTATGCTGATCATCTTCCATAATTTTGTTTAATAAAAACATGTTTAAAACTACAATGCAAACCTCAGCACCTGAATATTGAATAAAATATTGTTGCGTGTTGTTCATTTATTAAATTATTATGTAAATGAATTAAAAACATACATCCTGAGGCTTCTCTATTTCCGAGTTTCAGGAAGTATGCTTATACTGCTGCCACTGTTGCTGTTCCATTAAGTCTTTCAATTAAGTTTTCTAAATGTCTACGTGAAATAAGTTGCCACATGGATTTCTAAAATCTTGGGCTGCTTACAGACATGGAAAAAAACCCACCATGGTTTATTTCAGCTTGGCGTACCCCCTGCATCAAGCGCAGTGCTTGCCCAGCATCAGTTTGACCTAGCTCATCCAAAATCTGTACAGATTGCATGCTTCAGAGGTGCTTTTTTGCCATTTTATCTAATAGTTGATTCAATCAGCTGTAGATAAAAGTGCCAAAATGCCCCGCTGAAGCACCTGATCTATACGGGTCAAAGCTGGGTCAAAGTGATGCACTTCCTCTTCTGGTAAAATGCTGGGTTGTTTTGGGGGGTTTTTTCACATCTGTCAGCGGCCTTAGAGACCTGACATCCTTATTGAGCTCACGAAGTCATACTCAAGAGAAAAGCAAGTAGGTTCCATAGCTGCTTATGCAAAAACGCAATCATTAGTTTGTTTTAAAGGAACATTGGTCTGTTTCTTATAAAGCTTCCACCCTGATCCTTGGTTCAGGTACCAGCACCTGTCATCATTACGGTTCTTTGTATTTGTGCAGGTACACCAATGGAATCCCTGAATGCAAACATGTTGCCCAGTTGCAAGGCAGGGTTTGCACTACTTTGACTTGCTGTGGTTTCAAAATCGTGCTATACTATACTAAGGAATGACAGCAATGCATTATTCTGATTCAATACCCCTTTGTGTAGCCAAGCCTGCATTAATATAGGTAGGTGGAAGCAGACCACATCATCTTCAACATTTAGATCCATTCACCTGCCAAACTGGTGTTTGTCATCAGCAATACAGTCCCATTTAATTGCTACACCAGTGGTTTTCAACCTTTTTCCATTTGCAGACCCCTAACAAAATTTAAATGGAGGTGTGGACCCCTTTGAATTGTAAGTGTGAGTATTCACATACTTTTGATTGATCACACTCATCTTTCCTGAACCCCTTCAATGTAGTCTGTGAACCTCCAGGGGTCTACAGACCAAAGGTTGAAAACCACTGCCCTAGACAGTCCAACTACAGTCTTTTCAAATGAGATGACAGACTTACAGACCTGAAGTTTCCTGGTTCTTTCCTGGATTCTGTTTTAAGCATGAGCATCAGGTGCAAGTTATAATTCCTCCTCTCCATGGATGGCTCCCAGGGCTTTTCATGTTTGTCCTTTTCCATTGTTCCATTTTGCAATCAACTAGAACCACAGAAATCACAGATAATAAAGATATATTAGACCTTAAAGCTTGTCTCCTTAATTACCCTCTAAAGGGGTATAGGTTGTATTTTTGTTGATCTAAGTACATAGGCAGACAAGGTTCTTTGGGTAAATCTGATAACTTTTAGTAGACCAACTAAAATAGTTGGAAAAATTCTTCTTTGCAAGCTTTTGGGTACAAATACCCTTTGTCAGACTGAGGAAGCATCTGCAGTTGATCTGTCCTCTTCCTGGATGAAATAGAAAAGAAGCCAGAGGCCAGTATGCATGCGAGAAAGCTGGTCAGTGAAAATGCAAATTGAGGTAATCAATGGGTGAGAGACAGGTGGTGGGTAGGGGAGAGGAAAAGGGGAATAGAGACCTGGTGAAAAGAATATAGCTGGCAAATAGTAGAGAGGTTGCCAGGGGTGTCAGATGTTAGGCAGGTTATAATGTGTCATAAATCCAATGTCTATATTTAGTTCAGGATTTTTTGTATCCAGTAGGTTGATGATGTGATGTTCATAGGCTTGTTTGTGAAAGGTGTTTTGTAAGTTTCCTTTGAGGATTAGAACTGAGAGATTGGAGAGAGAGTGGTTTTCTTGTGAGAAATGTGCCCCCACAGGTTTGGTTTCTCCTATATATTTTCCACCAGGACATATCTCCACCACTCCCACAATAACTATAGCCCACAACAAAACAATCAGCATTCCTGGATCTTACACCTGCACCTCCAGAAATGTAATATAAATCATCCAGTGCACCAAATGCCCTGATGGAAAATATGGAAGAGAAACCAAACAACAACTGCACACCAGAATGAATGCACACCAAAACTCTATCAAAGACAAGAATACCCAGTTACCTGTGGGGGCACATTTCTCACAAGAAAACCACTCTCTCTCCAATCTCTCAGTTCTAATCCTCAAAGAGAATTTTCCATACACTTTTCATGGACAAGCCTACAAACATCACTTCATCAATTTACTGGATACAAAAAATCATGGATTAAATATAGACATTGGGTTCGTGACATATTATGATGTGCCTAACATATGACACCTCAAGCAGCCTCCTGTCTGCTATTTACTAGGGCTGTGCAAAGCTTTGGTCCCTGATTTGATATGGTGGAGATTCAGCCCGATTTGGTGGCCGAATGAATCTCTGACTCCGAATCGAATTGGAGGACCCTTTAATCTCTCTGAATCGAATCTGAACCCTCCAAATGGATTGAAGAGACTTGGAAAGATTCGGCGATTCAGACACAGACACAGCTTTAATTGTTTTTTCTACATACCTCTAGGTACCAGGTGGCTTGTGAACACTGTGATGCTGGGGTGCATGGAGTGTCCCACAGGAGGCTCCTCAGCATGCTCGGCAGCAGACCCTGAAGTGGACCAGAACCACTTCTGGTCCACTTCCAGATCCACTGGGGATCACACTGGGGGGCCCCCCACACCCTCTGGCTCAGCAACTGGTGCCTCCTGGGTCTGGGCCAATACTTCTGGTCCACTTCCAGGTTCACCACCGAGCACATGGAGGGCACCATGGCATGCTCCATCAGCCTCAGCATCACAGCATTCATAAACCGTGCTGGTACCTCAAGGTATGTAGAAAAAACATTTAAAGCTGTGTCTATGTCCGAATTGCTGATTCTCTGAATCAGCATTGAATTTTCAGATTCGGATTCGGCCAAATAGAATCAGGGACAGTGAGTTGAATCAATTAATCAAATCACTGTCCCTGATTCAAGCTGAATCTGAACTGAATAGGGCCCGCTTCACTCACCCATACTATTTACCAGCTATATTTTTATCACCAGGTCTATATTTCCCTTTTCCTCCACCTGTCTCTCACTCATTGACTACCTCAATTTGCATTTTCATTAACTGGCTTTCTTGCATGCATACTGGCCTCTGGCTTCTTTTCTATTCCATCCAGGAAGAGTGCAGACCCACCGCAGGTGCTTCCTCAGCCTGACAAAAGGTATTTGTACCCGAAAGCTTGCAAAGCAGAATTTTTCCAACTATTTCAGTTGGTCTGCTAAAAGATATCAGATTTACGCAAAGAACCTTGATTACCCTCTAAAGTATATTAGTGGTTCAGCCTTTTTATTTTAAGTGTCTCAAGGTGATGACACTTCCTCCACTTCCTCTGGGTACTTAGTTTTCAGTGTATCTCATTCTCAGAAAATGTTTACCTGAGAGTTCACATTTTCTTTTGCTCATTTGTATGCAGTTACTCTTTAGTTTTTGCTCCTTGGAATTATCATGCAGTTCATCTTTGTACAGCTACTTATATCTTAATTTCAATTTATCTTTTTATTTCTGGGATCTTCCATATATATTCATTTCCCAGCATGGTTTTGCTGACAAGACAAAATACCCTTCCCCAAGAGTTACTCTGCTAAAACTTAGAGCTTGGATTTTCAAGGAAGACAGAAGAAGCTAAGAACCCAGCACCCACTGTATTTCAAGGTCTAGTTCCATTAGGTTCTTTGGAAAAATCCCAGAATGTCTCCTACTGGGATTTTCTCTACTTCTAATTCCAAATCAAGTGTGTGGTCCTTATTACGTTTGTAATTCATTGCCCCCAGTCTTATAAGGGCATTTATACATGTACCATTTCGTTCTCAGACATGCTGGAGATCCGCCGCTTTGGAACAGACTCAATTAATCGAGTCTGCTCCTCACGGGAGCTAATATTTAACTTAAAATAGCTTGTCAAGCCTGCTAGTTGGTGCCAAGCTCCTGAGAGATGATAGAGATTTGGCCTGTCTCCTGACAAGGATCATTTTGCTGAATTGGACACTGTTTAAAAAAAAAGGGCGGGGGGAATGATCTATTTAAAGCTGTGGCTAATACGGTATATACACAGTATACTGGAGCTGGGTTCTTAGCTTCAGATCTTCATACTGAATTAAAAAATAATAACAAAACTCTTAAGCCAGGAACCTGAACACACACTAAGATCATGCCCGAGACAGAGATCCTAAGAGGGCTGGGCTGCAATGGCATGCATGGAGCAGGAAAGAGTGGGTAAGGCATGCTTTCTAATGGTGGTCCTGAACTCAGTATGGACTGTAGATAAGCCTTTGGCTCCATGACAACAATCTTCTCCTTGTTTTTACTTATCACCTTATTGCAGTGTCCTCTCTGCTCTGGCAACAATTAGGAAATGCATGGAAGTGTTCCTCTTTGACAATCTTATTTTAGCTATGAATACAGTGCTCACAAGATGGGTAACTCCTTTCAGGAAAGAAACCTCAGCCAACCTCCAAAAAAGTATCTTGAAACAAATCAATCTTAAAAAAAAAACCTCACAGAAGAAATAAAATATAATGAAATCAAAACCCCAAAGCCTATTCTCTACCAACACTTACCTCAAATTGGGAGACAGGCCAGAGACTCTGTGAAGTGCATTAAACAGGCGCCTACAAACAAGCAATGAGGCTGCTCCAACACATTGTAATTACAGTGTGTCAGAGCAGACTCAATTAATTGAGTCTGCTGGAGTGTGGTAATTACTGTGCTGTAGCAGATTCCAGCATCTCATGTACCAAGCTTTAAAGCGCCCCTGCTGCCATTTTTAAGGATGGAAATGCTGGTACATGAGACTGTCTGGGTGCTTTAATTAGAGCGGCTCCAAGAGCCCCTCTAATTAAAGCACCCCTCTTTCTCCCACTCCTGAAGCACGTGTATAAATGCCCATTGTTATTACTATTCTGCTTCAAAAGTGCTCAGATACCATAATAAATGGCAGTGGTGCAAACTGTATATAAAAGCTAGATGGGCAATCTGGTCCATTCCTTACTGCTTTCCCTGGCTTTGGAAGTCAACAGCCACAAAGGTTTGCACCTAGATCAGCACTAACTGATACATCCCAGCCTCTCTGGCCCAGCTATCTTTCCCATCTTATTTACAGTGCTTGAAGATGTACAGAGATGTTTTTTGTTGATACTATGGTCTTAAGTGTCCAGATTGGGTAACAGATTGTGACTCCTATGCTAGAATGGATATCTTTGCCACAATTCACTGCTATAAAGAGACAGAATTATTTAGGGTGTCTATCACCCACCCAGTTTAAGCCATACCTCTTGTCTGTCATCTAAGCAGGGGGTTAAAATCTCATTATAACCACCACAGTGAGTCATGTGCTAGTACTTTCAGATGTGTAAATTATAGTCAAGAGTAGCATTCCAGCTCCTTCAATTGGGAAAGCACTTAGCTCTACCTCCAGTTTGTCTCTCCATCTCAGTATCTCTGGCCCACACTGTCAGAATAGGCAATCCACCCTCTTAAGCATGTGAATCCCATTTCCCCTCCTCCAAAACCACCATACACGTGTTTGCTGTTACTTCCAGATGTGTCCACAGCTTGAAAACAGCAATTTGGGAGAGAAGAGAAAAACTTTGAGTAAGCTGGGCTGAATTTCCCCCCTATTCATACTTCCACCTTTGTCCTAAGGAACAGACTGACTGTTCAGTGGAAAACAACAAGTCTTTTTTTAAGAAGCCTGTTTCTTCTTCAGGGTCAAAATCCTATATGGAGATGTCTGACTGCATGCAGGAAATGTATGCAACACAATTCACCCCTTTCATGCCATCCGTCTTACTCCCAGTTCACTACCTCAGAATTCACTCCTTGAGCACCCTGACCAAAGATCAGCTAATGTTTACCCAGTGACAGACCAATGTGTTGTCTTTTCTCTATTGAACTGAATTCAGTGCTTGGAGAGGATAGGAAATGATGACCCTAGCAGAACTAGAGTTAGTCTAGACAGCTCCACAGCATGCACCACATTAGTGCACCTTAATCCTACTATTACCTTCCTCCCTGCTGTGCAGTGCATCCAAGACTTGCCCATCAGAAATGTCCACTGCAGCTCAGATTTCTTGCTCAATATCTAGCATGCAGGTGAGGTCAGCTGGCTACATCAGCTGGCTAAAACCCTCTTTTCATGTCTTGTGCTGTGGAAAGTTGGCATGGCTATACTACGTG